GCATTATAGTTTTCGTTCAACCCACCGGTAAGAACCCTCCAAATATTATAGAGCTAGCTTTATTTGTTTATTGACATTCATGATTATTATTTTTAAATAATTTAATTAGCTATAAGCTATAATGTTTTATAATTAATTAAAAAATAGAATAAATATATATTATGTTTTATTTAAATGAAAATTTTAATAAATCTCTCATCAATCCTTAACATTTTATGATTAAGATTATCAAAATGGCTCGTTGTGTGCTAATAAATCATTTTCGATATGTTATGCAAATAAGTCGGCACCAACAAATATTTTGAGTTCTCTATACAAACAAGCGGTACACTAATGATAAAAAATTTATAAGAGCCGCACATAAACCAGGCTGAAAGTCTATATCCATATCTATAATTAAGTGAAATAGTATCATTCTTTATATATAGGTTTATGAAATCAATTCCTATAAAAATTATTATGCCTTTTAATTTAGTTTTTTCGGCACGTTCAATAACATTCATGATTTCTAAGTATGTATTCATCTCTCATGTTAACAAAACCATTAACATAATTATTTTATATCAATTATAATATAATTATGAGAAGTTGGGATAGTTTAGAGTCATTAAAAGTTCCAGTTGAAGTGTTTAAGACGCTAATAATCCATTTTTAGTTTACTATTTTTTTGATTAAAATAATTTAAATAAGACTAATGTTGAGTCGTCAGTATAAATTGTGTTGATATGTGCATTTTGCATTAGAATTTGTGCTTTGTGATCCTTTCAGACCATTTATTTTTGAATGAGCACTCTGACGACGAACAAATTTATTTGGATAGATTTTCTTTTATTGAAAAGCAGTTAAATGTATCTGAAGCGTCCAATTTATAGTCAAGATGAGGGATCACTATAATCAGCTAGCAACATGTATAGTAAGATTACCAATTAGAGAGCCATTTTTTAAACAAACAACTAATACATAATTCGTTTTTTTTTAAACAAACAACTAATAGAAACTAATATACTCAGAAATACGATATAAAGATATTTACACAAGCTTTATAGAGCTACAAGATTCAATAACAAAAAAAAAAAGATTGGCAGCCAAAATAACACCAGATTTTGATTTTTTTTGCATCTTTATATAGAATTTACAATTTACAAGTATAAGCTTCAATTAAGATCATAAAATTCGACCACTTTGGTTAGAAATAACAAAAAAAATCATAGATCTATATAAAGATGAAGAGAAAATGGTCCACCAACTTGGTGCAGCAGAGGAGCAAGATCTTCCTGTGATTAGTGTAATAAAAAAATAGTAGATTAGAAAAGAATATATTCAAAATCATGATATGAAATAAATTTTAAATTTTTAAATACTTACAATTTAATATTGCGGCGAGCTCATTGAAACCATTGTTATCACTGAAGTCGTAGTTTAAAAACATGTCGATGTCTGCTCGTTCCACAATAAGTTCAAGCTCGGGAACTAAATTAGGCTCAATATATCATTCACTTGACCACAAAGTTTGATAAATCTGTGTCATACAGGAACCTGCTGGCAATCATAATTATTTAGTTTGCATGAGTAAAATTTATTTTGATGTCTCAAAAAATGAGGGAACCATACTTGGGGATCATTTGTAAGCATAATCATTCTGAGATTGCATATTTAGAATATATGCAAGAGATTTCGACTTACTATCATATAAATTGGCGTCCAATTTGTTAGTAGCTTTTGGGAGAGAAGTTCCATCACAAAATCTTGCTCCAGTATTATTAAAAGTTTGTTTACCAAGCCCCTAATCAACAGTGAAAAAAAGAACATGTAATTCATGTATATTTATGTTTGTTTCATGAGCAAACCTGTAAATGGTTGGCAACGATTTCTCTAGTAAGTTCCGGAGTTGTCATCATATCAAATATTTTTCTAGGGACTGCCTCTGATAATTAAAAAATCATATTTTAAGATCAGGAAAGAAATTTGAAGTGTATAAATAATATCAGACTAAAAAATACTTACTTTTTACACCAAGTTGGTTAACGACATCGATAAATCTAGCATGGAGCTCGGACGTCCAAGTAAATCGAGCTCTCTTTTGTGAGGGTAAGCCATCTTCAGAATCATTGTTAGCATCATCATTTCTTTCTCTTACACGATATTTAGATTTTTTGACGAGTTCTGAAATCTGGACATCTTTAGATCTTATTTCATTAGCATCCTTTTTTTCATTAAGATATCTTTTAACTGCATGCCTCCAGATAAGTTTTAGTTCTTCCAGGCGCACAGGCTTAACGAGATAGTCAACTGCCCCATAGTTAATAGCTTTCAGGACTCCTTCGAATTCAGAATCAACAGATATCACTGCATATAAAATTAATCAAATTAAAAAAAAATCGTCAACAAAAGTAGTTGATAAAATAAATATTGAAATTTTTGTTGTAGTTTGTTTACGTACTGATTACAGGCAAGTTTATTTCATTCTGAACGATCTCTAGTAGCTGAAATCCATCCATTTCAGACATATTGACATCAGTAATCATTATATCATATACATCTCTATTTGCTCTCAACAATTCCAAAGCTTGACGTGCATGATCACATACCGTGACTATAATACATGAAATTGTTTTAATAATAAGAAATCAATGTAGGTGTACTTAATATGAGAAAAAATGGAATTAATTGCTCACAAATGAAAATTTTATAATAAATATGCAACAATAGGCACTAGAAACTAAAAGCAGTTAAAAAATAGTTTACAAACCAAAATAAATTGTAAGAGTAGTTGTTTGTAAGAAAAAGTTTGTTAACACAGTAGTAGACACTACATACAGTGTATAGATTTGAAACGTGAACATGAGATAAAGCACATGCTTATTTATTTATATATCATGATATTATTTTTTAAAAAGAAAAAAAGAATTTTCCTTCCTACTCATTCAACCTCAACTTCTGAAAATTGTCCTCGAGAAAGCCTACAACTGTTTTTAACCCGATCAAACGTACAATCTTATCTTCGTGTTATAAAAATTTTAGCGAGAGTGAGGGCCGAAAGGGCCGAAGCAGAGTGACAAAAAAAAAAGTTGGCTGATATATATATATATATATATATATATAGAAATATAGTGCCAAATTATATTTTATTTAATTAAGGAGGTCAAAATGTTGGACGGCCATGATTAAATAGTCAGAATGAATATTTTAAAAAATATTATTTTTAAAATATACTAATTAAAAAAAAACTGAAGTGTAAAAGAAAAATGTAAAAGAAAAACTATTGGAAATAGGAAGATTTACATATCCAACACCTAAACTTCAATTTTTACATATATCCTCCCGTGCAAAGATGTATTTTAATTTTAAAGGTTAAAAGGATATTATTTTCTATATGATATGAAATATTTAAATGTTATAAATATAAAAAATAAAAAGCATGTATTTGAAGCCACTGTTATTGTTGCTATTAAAATGCTTATAATGCTAAGAAACTATAGTGTTACCACATTTCAATTTTTTGTTTTACTCAAGTTGTTTTCTACAGAGATGCAGTGGCTATAATATCCAGTTAATGATAATTTCTCTGATTTCTTGGTATGGACTGATCTTCCAAGGCAAAGTTTTCTCATTCTCAATCTTGCAAATGATGAGTCAGTCATCAAGGATGACATGAAAGTCATACAAATGAAGCAATCATTTTCCCTTATTTTGGACAACTCTATGAAGTAGATAGGTTGGGAAAACTCATGATCTTCTGCTCAATGGTAGCATTTGACTTCGCATTAAGCCTTTTAGAAGCATATGTACTTTTAACTGCTCTTTTATTTTACTATATGATGGTATTTACCGTTTTTTATTTGCTTTTAGCTATTGTTGTCTCAATAATTCAATATTATCCTGCTATCAAATATTTACATAGACATCATATATGTATTTTTGAATTACTAAATTTAAAATACAACAATAGTTGTAGTTTTTGTTGACCACTAAAATCAAACAGTCAGACAAGATTTTACATGTATAAAACCTACATTTTTATATTTCATTGAATATGTCAAAATTATATCAAAAAAGTTAATGAAAAATTTGATGTGATGTGACATATGAGTGTTATATAAATAAATATTAAAGTTTAGGGGTTGGATATGTAAATACATAAGAATTGTATGGTATGTATGCTAATCACCCAAAATGGGGAAATTTACAAAGATATGAAATCCTAAAATGTGCACAATGAGATGCCAAATGCAAGAAACGACTAATTTCAAGCCTAGTAATTTATGGATCGAATCTGCCTTGGGAGCATATTAGTGCCAAGTAAATACGGGCTTCAAAATTCATTTGTAATGAAATCATGTAATTTGAGTTTTGCAAATAACTTTTGAATGAGGTACTCTTCTTTGGTTTCTATTTTTTGAAAAATTTAGCTGCGCTTACACTGTAGCAAAAAGATTAGAAAATATCAACACAGTTTTGTACTGTCATGGAAAGAATTAAGAAGGTTCGCATGCAACGAATGCATGCGACGAATGCATACATATTTACTTTAAATGGTTCATAATTAGTTTCATATTCAACAAGATGCACAAGGTTAATATTCTAAAGTCTTTTGTATTTGAATTTTACTAGAAAATTCATTATGATTCTATATTGTATCTTTATAATAGTAGATTTATTTTAGTTAAAAATATTAAAACTAGAATCCTATTGCAATTTCATCATTTTAAGCGCAAAGTCTAACTCGAGTATGAATTGATTCAGATCACAATATTACTGATTGAATACAAAACATTATGCTTGTTCCCTTTGCCATACTTATACAATATGTAGAAAGGGCATAAATTAGAAGAAATTCTCTTAAGCTTTGGACTAATTAGTATGAAAATTGTTCACAAGCTACTTTTTTTTATCAAATCACATGGGCTGTTAAGACTTTCCTCAATAATATGGCTGGAAAAATGTTTATGCTCTTTGCTTGATTCCATAGCTTATAATATGGCTAACGGTATGTGTTGCCTCCAAGTATCTAATTTGAATACCACTCAATTCATAAGTATTTACATATCTAACATGAACTTAAAATTTAATATGATATGAAAGATTTACATGGTATAAATATTAAAAAGAAAAGTTTAGCTTTCAAATATATGATTATGTAGGAACTAGTTGGTATGTATGTAAATGCCACATAAAAAAGAATAAGTAGAACTCAGAACAGATCATAACAAGAAAACAACTTGCAGAACATTTCCGTCATTCCAAATTTCCAAATAAAGAAATAATTTTTTTTTCCAAATTTCCATAGGCTAAACTGAATAAGCATTTGAAATCCCAAGGAATATTGAACATATTCCATTAGACAAATCCTAAGAATACATTGAACTCAAAAAAATTAATATGGAAGCTCCAAGAAAATGTATTTATAACTTTTCTTTTATATATATACCCAAGTGCAACTGTTCAAACAATGTAAACTGCAATTTAAATAAACAAAGATAAAAGACAATATTTTTGGAGGAATGCAGTAAAAAAGCTATTAAATGTAGTTGCATTTCTTAATTAAAGATTCTCATGTTATGCATTCTGCAGAGATTCTTTCATCACGCATAGTAAGGGTTATAGGTAATCAAAGTTGACTGCATGCTGAAGAAAACTTGAAAACAACAAATGTGGAACATGATGAAGTCATTGATGTCAAATCCAATTTTAACAAGGAATCGACTAACAAGTTCTTTGGTTTACTCCCCATCTCCTTCTTGATGATTATATATTGTACACCTATGACCTTAGAGACCAACTCCATCCTCTCATTTTGTTGATCAAATTCCACCATATCCTTTATGGTGAAGGTAATTTTATTTGCCTATTTTTCTGTCTGATTTGCTTGGTAACATCCTTCTTGGCATTGCCCATGTCTTGTGTTAACTTTAACGTGTATAACAGTCATAATTTATATAAATTAGTTTTTCATCAAAGTAAAAATATGATTCATACCTAGTTTTATGCTGATTTTTTAACAATATTCAACTTTAGTATAGACTAAAACACAAAATCAGTGATAATAACATCTTTTAGACAGCTCATGGTGGAACAAGGTATGTATTTATATGCAAGATTGTGTAAGGAGGCACAAAAGTAGTCTCCATAATCAA